GACAATTAAGGATGGAGAACAAATGTGGGCCTTCCCAGATACCCCTACATCCAGTGAAAAAATTATCAAAGTATTTCATTCAATTGCTGTAAATCTCACCCAGATTTCTTGAGGGAAGCAGATGGGAAAATCAAATGAAACTTTTCAAGCTGTGATTGATAGGTTTTCATTAAGTTAGAGCATTAAAGGTTACAAAACCACAAGGTAAACAGCTGGAGAAAAGACTTTTCTTTATTCATTCAGAAGATGAGGGAATGCTAGGCCAGCATTTACTGCCCATTCCTAATTGCTCAGAGGGCAGTTGAGAGTCAACCACGTTGCTGTGGGTTTGGAGTCACATGTAGGCCAGACCAGGTAAGGATGGCAGCTTCCTTCCCTAAAGGACATTAATGAATAGAGATTGACTGGCTGAATGAATGTGATGAACAGATATGTCGAGCTACATTGCCTCCTCTTGTTTCTAGGTTCAGAGGACCAATTAACATAACCTCTGTAATCATTCAGCAACCTGGCTTGATAATCACATTGGGTCATTCGTAGTGCAGATCCTGATATTTTGATTTCTGCTGTTTTGTCTAAGACAGCCATTTGGAGCACTTAGTTACGGAAGAACGTCAGAAATAGGAGCAGGCTATTCAACCCTCCCAGTCTACTCTAACATTCAATGAGATGATTTCTGATCTTCAACATCATTTTCCTGCACTATCTCCGTATCCTTTGATATTTTTAGTATGTAGATATATATCAGTCTCAGTCTTGAACATATTTAACAACTGAGCCTCCATAACCTCTTGAGGTAGAGAATTCACCATGTTTGATTAAAGTAATTCCTCCTCATCTCAGTTGAGAAGGACTGACCTCTTGTTCTGAAACTGTACTCTTGTTCTAGACAGTCAAACTAAAGAAACCGTCCTTCCTGCCTCTATCTTGACAATCCCTGTAAGAATTTTGTGTGGTTGAACAAGATCATCTCTGATTCCTTGAAACGCCAGAGAAATATGGTCCAAACCATATAATCTTTCCTCACAGGAGAATCCCTCCATCCCAGGACTCAGACTCTTTGCATTCCTTCAAAAGCAAGTATATCTTTCTTGAGGTAAGGAGACCAAAACTACACAGACAGGAAGTCATAGAGATATACGGCACTGAAACAGACCTTTCAGTCCAACTCGTCCATGCTGATCAGATATCCAAAATTAATCCAGTCCCATTTGCCAGTATTTGGCCATATCCCTCTAAACTGTTCCTATTCATATGCCCATCCAGGTGCCTTTTAAATGTTGTAATTGTACCAGCCTCTACCACAACCTCCTCTGGCAGCTCATTCCATACACACACCACCCTCTGCATGAAAAATTGCCCCTCAAGTCTGTTTTAAATCTTACCCTCTCACCTTAAACCTATGCCCTCTAGTTTTGGACTCCCATATCCCGGGCAAAATACCTTGTCTATTTACCCTATCCATCCCCCTCATGATTTTATAAATCTCCGTAAGGTCACCTCTCAGCTTCAGATGCTCTAGGGGAAATAGCCCCAGCCTATTGAGCCTCTTCCAAAAGCTCATACTCTCCAACCTTGGCAACATCCTCGTATATCTTTTCTGAACCCTTTCAAGTTTCACAACATCCTTCCTATAGCAGGGAGACCAGAATTCAACACACTGTTCCAAAAGTGGCCTAACCAATGTCCCGTACAGCCTCAACAATGATGTCCCGACTCCATTACTCAATGCACTGACCAATAAAGGCAAGCATACTAAATGCCTTCTTTAGCATTCTATCTACCTGCAACTTCACTTCCAAGGAACTATGAACCTGTACTCCAAGGTCTCTTTGTTCAGCGACACTCCCACAACCTTACCATTAAGTGTATAAGTCCCGCCTGATTTGCCTTTCCAAAATGCAGCACCTCACATTTATCTAAATTAACCTCCATCTGCTACTCCTCAGCCCATTGGCCCATCTGATCAAGATCCCGTTGTGCTCTGAGGTAACCTTCTTTACTGTTCACTACGCCTCCAATTTTGGTGTCATCTGCAAATTTACTAACCATACCTCCTATGCTCATATCCAAATCGTTTTATATAAATGAGAAAAGGCAGAGGACTCAGCACCGATCCTTGTGCATGCCGCTAGTCACAGTCTGAAAAGGAACCCTCCACCACCAACCTCCCCTTACAAGTTGTGAATTGGGATTCCATGATATGAATAGGATCCCAGGCATCAGGTTGCAATTTTGGGGTGCAAATGTTTGCTTCTTCTTCCATCCGCACCCACACAACCCACCAAGACCACCAGGCCCCATTCAAATCTAACACAAAGGAATTTCTTTGTTTCAAAACGATTCTCGACAATCAGGCACTTGCGTATAATTTAGCTGAAGGGGGTTGCAAATGATATTTTTGTGAATCAGCCAGATGTTACATTTACTGTCTGACTCTCCTTCTGTTTGACTAGTGATACAGAAGTGCAGGGTAATGCTCTGAGGGCAAAGCAGGAAGCTGGTCTCAGTGATGGGGACCATGACAATCATCATTGATTGTCATAAGAACCTATCTGGTTCACTACTGTCCCTTAGGGAATGAAATCTGCCATATTTACCTGGTCTGGCCATAAATGTGACTTCAGACCAGCCACAATGTAGGTTTTTTTTTAAACTGCTCTCTGAAATGACTGATCAAGCCAGTCAGTTCCAGAGCAGTTAGGAATTGATATATCATAATTCATGTCCATTAATAATTATTCATGATTGTATGTAATATTAACTACAGACTTATGTGTACTAACCACCCCATTCAGACTGACTTAGAAGCACATTAGCATATCAGTTTACAACCCACTTAATAGTGTAGTCATGCATAACGCACCATGTACACAGCTCCATTTGACAAAGCCGACATTCTACTCAAAGGTGTAGTCATGCATAACATGCTGTGTACACAGTTCCACTTAGCAAAACCACATAAATATTACAGGATAAAATGTTTTTATACTTCCGTAATAAAATCTCAAAGTTGCTACCCAAGTTGATAGGGTTGTAAAGAAGGCGTATGGAGTGTTGGCTTTCATTGGCAGGGGAATTGAGTTTAAGAGCTGTGAGGTTATGCTGCAGCTCTATAAAACCCTGGTTAGACCACAGTTGGACTATTGTGTTCAGTTCCGGTCACCTCATTATAGGAAAGATGTGGAAGCTTTAGAGAGGGTGCAGAGGAGATTCACCAGGATGCTGCCTGGACTGGAGGGCAGGTCTTATGAGGAAAGGTTGAGGGAGCTAGGGCTTTTTACATTGGAGCAAAGAAGGATGAGAGGTGACTTGATTGAGGTGTACAAGATGATGAGAGGCATAGATACAGTGGATAGTCAGAGACTTTTTCCCAGGACGGAAATGACTATTATGAGGGGGCATAATGTTAAGGTGATTGGAGGAAGGGAGGTGTCAGAGGTAGGTTCTTTACACAGAGAGTGGTGAGCATGAGGAATGCACTGCCGGCAGTGTTAGTGGAGTCAGATACTTTAGAGACTTTTAAGTGACTCTTGGATAGGCACGTGGAGGATAGTAAAATGTAGGGTATGCAGGGTAGATTGATCTTAGTAGGATAATAGGTCAGCACAACATCATGGGCCGAAGGGCCTGTACTGTGCTGTACTATTCTATGTTCTATGTTCTAAAAGCAGTGCTTTTCATATTAAAACCTAGCCTTGAATAGGTGCGATCCCCAAACCTTTACTCTAAACCCCTTTCCAGTCGGCATGGCTCCAAGAATCATTCAAAGATAACAATTGGATTAGCTCTCTTCTTTAAAAGTAACAAACCACTTCCTCGCAGACTTTCTTACACTAGATTAAACATATTGTGATTTTTAGGTGACAGGATTACCTTGCCCCATGTTTTTATTCAATGTCATGTATATAAACAACCTTCAACCTACTAATAAAACTAACAGCGCTACGTCCAGACCGGTGGCAACTTTGAATGAATGAAGGTGTGAATGAAATCGACAGCGCCGCTACAACAGACATGGCCATGAAACTGAATGAATGAATGAGCGATAATAAACAGAATCCACAGATAGTCGCGACTGGGAAACTGAATGAATAGGCGATAGTAAATCAAAGTTACAGACAGCTGCGATTGATAGAAATCCAAACTTTTATTTAAAGCACAGATACATTTTTACCAACATTCTAAATTTGGAAATAACAAGACTAACACCTTTTGAATTGTGCAAGGACAAACTGGACTGACACTCTAATCTCATTAGAATAACCACTAATGTTTAGCAAGTGTTTAAACCATTTCTGATTTCATGCAAGACAGTTTTCTGTACAATAGCCATTACTTAGCACTCAAGTGTTAGAATGTTGATGTATGCACAAATTCAGTATAAAAAAGGCTACTTTTGAGCTATGATTTTGGGATTCTATTTTTGCCTCACATCATGCTGCTGTGAATGTACAATAAAGAGGCTATTTTCACCACTCACCTGATCTCAGTCATCTGGTTTTTTGAACACAATCCCACAGAATGGACAACATATGATGCGTTTGCCACCATCCCAACATCCCATGAAAGAATAAAGACAGAAACCTTGTAACTAGTAATTTCACATACCAAAATTGAATATCACACCCTTTGTTTCTAGCCTTGTTAACTTCAAATCTGAAATTTTAAGTCTTGAACCCTAATCAATGTGATCAAAAGAATTAACTTTGTTGATAGATTGCAAGTGTAATAATTATCAAGTGCAGATGTTATTTCATTGACTGTTAATCCAGTTTATCAAGACTGTCAGAATAAGGATTTTACCTTTAGTATGCAGTTTGCTGTCTTCAATTTATATGAAGAAGCATTTAATGGCATTGTCTCCATTTTTCTTTCCAGCAGGAATTTAGCATCGTTATGCTGGTGATGGATACCTCTAAAAATGAACAACAGTCATAAAGGAAAGAAAAACACCAAACAAACATATTGCCATTTCAAAATTAATTTAATGGGTGAATTTCAAACATTCTTTAAACATTTTTTACAGCTGAAAGACTGGCTTGAAATCAACTTCTCAGAAGGGCTTCAAAAGTGTGTAGTTGAAGTTTTGTTTCCGTTGTTGAAGCTGCCGTGATTTCCTCGTTCAGATCTGGGTCATAAAGAAACAAATTAGAAATTACATAGAAGTCCCTAGACCAAGAATAAACGTAGATTACTGTAGTTTAGATATAGGTTAAACAACAAGTTTGTAATACACTTGCAATAATTGTTGCACAGGTCAGCTCTGTCATTCTTATACAGAGAAAAGTTACACTGACTTTTTTTCCATTGTGTGTTGACTGCATTTTTAGCAAGTATGTTTCAATTCATTTCTTTCTTGCTTAAATGTTTTAAGTAACTGTATTGAATTTTTTTATTTGTATGTATGCAATCACCCCTCCAAGGAAGTATCTTTAAATATGTAATATTTTTATTTAGTTTATAATTTCCTTTTTGGGAGTTTCCTCAATGTTGTCTCAAAGTGATATTGGGCAATGTTGTTGTATTGTGCATGACCCATCCCTCAATGAATGGTATAATGCGTGGGGACAGTTCAGTTAAACCACATACAATAAAATTATGAGGGATAATAGGGCATTTTTAAAATAACTAAATTTCACAATTTATGGAATTTAACAACTGTAATGATTTTTTTGAGGTGGTAACACAGGTAACGATAATATAATAGATGTGATTTATCTGAATTTTCAACATGTCAGTGATAGGCCCCAAATAGACTAACAGACATTAGAGAATGTGGAGATGGGGATAAGTATCACAGGAGAGAGGTTGAAATACATAGTTTAGAGAGGAAGCTAGATAAGCATTTGTGGGAGAAGGGAATAAAAGGCTATGATGATAGATTTAGATGGAGGTGACCTGAGTAGAGCAGCCTGGATGGTGGGCCAAATCACCTGGTTCTGTGTTTCATATCATATGCAACAGGTTAATATAATTGAATTGCCAAACAAAATATGCTTAATGAAAATCACTTTCCCACATAAAGAAATAATAAGACAGAGTTATATTGTCTCCTTTAATCCAATAGCTGCCTAACAGGCCCAAAAATTCTATTTCTGATCACTCCACTAAATACCCCAATTAACTCAACTTTTACCAATTTACCATGCTTGCTACTCTCACTTACCTCCCAGTTACCTCCAACTCTCTGCCTCTGCCCCAGCACACCCACTGCTGCTCTTCACCTCACCCCTTCTCTTGGCTTCTCCTCCTTGCCACTGCCCTCTTCTAAGTCGGTTGCTTCTCACCTCTTCCCCGTCCCACTACTCAGAACCTACTCAAATAAATCAGTAACCACTCTGAATTCCCATTTTAAATTATTCACTCTGTTGGCATGCCCCTTTCAGGTTTATGTTCTAATTATTTTTAAAAGTACATAATTTTAATTAACCTGTTCAGGCATATTATGACACCATTCTGGAGGAGGTAGGAATTGAACCCAGATCTTCTGGTTAAGAGGGAGAAACTCTACCACTACACCAGCAAAGCCTCACTCATAACCATCACTTTATGAGAGCATTTTGAACCTACAATAGCCCACTGACTTGGAGTCTGATGATATAAATGTACAGAATACCCCACGTTTTCAACATTGTCACAAACAGTTTTATTTTAGTCGAAAGGAACTATTCAACAATTAATTGTTTTAAAGTTTCCTTACCTTTTGCTTTTTTGAAAAGCAGAGTGGGTCACTTGAAAGACAGCAACTAAGACGAGGAACGTGAGGACAGCAGCTAAACCTATGATTGCAGAAAGTCGGTCCGATCTAAAGGACACCACTGCAGTATCAAAAACTAAAAAAAAAAATATGAATTTACCTGCTATTCCTTCAGATTTCATTGGTGTATTCACCTCTAATATCAAACTAAAACCGCTTTTGATGAAACATGCACAGGTCCATATTACATTGCATTCAGAGCAAAATCAATTCGTCAGCGCTGTCTCTGATATAGACATTGGCATGGACAAGCAGATTTCCACTCAGATTGCTAATGCAATGAAACAGGAGTCAGGAAATGTTCTGTTATTTCATTCCCACCTCTAATCTGGGCAGTGCAGGTGGTGGAGGGAGTGAGGATTTTCATCCAGAGAGCAGGATCAGAGCTTATCACCACCTTTTGGGTGCTGTAACCGTGTGAATAGAGGAGGACCACTGTATAAAATGACCACCATCACAGTCCTGTCAGTGCTACAACAGAAACAAAAACTCCAGAAAAATGTCCTTTGGGTCTTCAGCTGCTGGCTGAACTTTGACCTTACGTGCCTACTGTCAATAGAGAGTCATAGATCTGTACAGCACAGAAACAGACCCTTTGGTCCAACTCGTCCATGCCGACCAGATATCCTAAATTAATCTAGTCCCATTTGCCAGCATTTGGCCCATATCCCTGTAAACCCTTCCTATTCGTATACCCATCCAGATGCCTTCTAAATACAGTAAATTTACCAGCCTCCTCCACTTCCTCTGGCAGCTCATTCCATACACGCACCACCCTCTGCATGAAAAAGTTGCCCCTTAAGTCCCTTTTAAATCTTTCCCTTTTCACCTTAAACCTATGCCCTCTAATTTTGGACTCCCCCACCCTGGGGAAAAGACCTTGGCTATTTACCCTATCCATGCCCCTCATGATTTTATAAACCTCTGTAAAGTCACCCTCAGCCTCCAACATTCCAGGTAAAGTCACCCCAGTCTAATCAGCCCCTCCCTATAGCTAAAACCCTCCAACCCTGGAAACATTCTTGTAAATCTTTTCTGAACTTTTTCAGCTGCAACATGACCTCCCAACTCCAATATGTATTGACCATTAAAGACAAGCATACCAAATGCCTTCTTCACTATCCTATCTACCTTTCCAAAATGCAGCACCTCACATTTATCTAAGTTAAACTCCACCTACCACTCCTCAGCCCATCTGATCAAGATCCTGTTGCACTCTGAGGCAATCTTCTTTCTGTCCACTACACCTCCAATTTTGGTGTCATCTGCAAACTTACTAACCATATCTGCTATGTTCACATCCAAATCATTTGTATAAATGATGAAAAGCAGTGGACCCAGCACCGATCCTTGTGGCACACCGCTGGTCACAGGCCTCCAGTCTGAAAAGCAACCCTCCACCATAACCCTCTATCTTCTACCTTTGAGCCAGTTCTGTATCCAAATAGCTAGTTCTCCCTGTTTTCCATGTGATCTAACCTTGCTAAACAGTCTACCATGAGGAACATTGTCAAATGCCTTACTGAAGTCCATATAGATCATGTCCACTGCTCTGCCCTCATCAATCCTCTTCGTTACTTCTTCAAAAAACTCAATCAAGTTCATGAGACACAATTTCCCACCCACTGCTAATGGATTTGCTGGTCAAGAGCTTGACACCCATGTGAAAGGTGGCCCAGTATGAGGGAACCCACCAGTAAGCTCACAATCCATTGGATGCTGCATTGCGTTCTTGCTTCATGGCATAGGAAGACCCAGGTCTGAGAAGTCTGCTTCCCCAAGTCTTTCCCTCTACTCTCCCCTGCTACTGACTGCATTCTCCCAAGTCAACATAGAACATAGCGAGTGAGCGACAGACATTGGGAGAGAGAGAGACAGACTTAGAGAGAGGAGGAGACATACAAAGAGAGAGATAGAGAGAGAGAAAGAGAAAGAGATAGATAGAGAGATAGGGAGATGGAGAGATAGATAGATAGATAGAGAGAGAGATAGATAGAGAAATTGATAGATAGAGAGAGAGATAGATAGATATGTAGAGAGATATAGATATCTTTCTCTGAACATAGGCATAGTCTGGAGTACTGTGTTCAGTTCTGGTTGCCCCATTATAGGAACATTGTTATTAAGCTGGAGTGAGTTCAGAAGAGCTTTTCCTGGATATTGCTGGGAATGGAGGGCTGAGTTATAAGGACAGACTGGTTAGACTGGGAATTTTTTCATTGGAACATAAGAGTTTGAGGAGTGACATTATAAAGGTTTATAAAATCATGAGGAGTGTAGATAAGGTGAATCGCAGGTGTTTTTTTTTCCCTAGGATAGGGGATTTCAAAACTAGGGGGCTTATTTTTAAGATGACAGAAGAAAGATTTAAAAAATGACATGGGGGCAATTTTTTTTACACAGTGTGGTTTGTGTGTGGAATGAACTTCCAGAGGAAGTGGTGGATGCGGGTACAGTTACAACGTTTAAAAGACATTTGGATAAGTACATGAATAAGAAATATTTGGAGGGATATGGGCCAAGTGCAGGCAGGTGGGACTAGTTTAGTCTGGGATTATGGTCGGCATGGGCTGATTGGGCCAAAGGGTCTGTTTCCATACTATAAGACTCTATGACTCTATAGCAGGTCACAGCACAGCTCTATAATTAGATTTGAGTTGGTGGGGGTGGCTGATTATCTCTCCAAACTCAATGCTCAACTCTCCAGCCCCCTCCTCTCACACAATTCTTCTCTTTAGAATCGTTACAACAGGAGAGCAAAAATGCCGTATCCCCTGGCTTTTCCTTGCCTTACCTCAAGCCAAAGCATGTGTGCCCCTCAAAGAACTCTAGACTCCTAGAACATTGGAGCAGAGAGTCAGTGCACAGATGGGCGCTGAGGCCACACAGCAAATACAACAAACCATAAAACACCCTCACACTTTCTCTCATCTTATCATGCCAAGCTAAAGATGACTGTTCTTTTCTGGATATCACCTTTAGATTTCAAGGGGGTGTTTAAGTGAGACTGGTGAGTATTATCAAATTTGAATTATACTGCATGCATGTTATTTCAGCTTGGAATGCATAGTGCTGCAGATATATAGTATGGTGTTTCAACATACACACTGCTTTTTTTAAAAATATAGAACTGTACAGCATAGAAACGGACCCTTCAGCCCACGATGTTGTGCCGAACATGTGGCTAAATTAAACTAATCCCTTATGCCTGCCCTTGGTCCATATCTCTCTATTCCTTGCATATTCATGTACTTAACTAAAAGTCCTTTAACTGCCCCTATCGTATCTGCTTCCACCACCACCCCTGGCAGCGCGTTCCAGACGCCGACCACTCTCTGTGTAAAAAAAACTTGCCCCTCACATCTCCTTTGAACTTTCCCCCTCTCACCTTTAAATGCATGCCCTGTAGTATTAGACATTTCAACTCTGCGAAAGAGATTCTGACCATCAACCCTATCAATGGATCTCACAATTTTATAGACTTCTTTTAAGTCTCCCCTCAGCCTTCATTGCTCCAGAGAAAACAACCTGAGTTTTTCTAGCCTCTCCTTATAGCTCATACCCTCTAACCAGGCAGCATCCCTCTTCTGCATCCTCTCCAAAGCCTCTACATCCTTCCTGTAATATGGTAACCAGAACTGATGGCAATACTCTAAGTGTGGCCTAACCAAAGTCTTATAAAGCTGCAGTATGACATTCTGACTCTTGTACTCAATTCCCCGACCAATAATGGCAAGCATGCCATACGCCTCCTTTCCCACCCTATCTGCTTGAGTGGACACTTTCAGGGAGCGGTGGACTTGACCCCCAAGATCCCTCTGTACATCAGTGCTGTTCAGGGTCCTGCCATTAACTGTATACTTTTCCTTAACGTTTGATCTCCCAAAGTGCACCACCTCATACTTACCCGGATTAAATTCCATCTGTCTTTTCTCTACCCACATTTGCAACTGTTCTATATCTCACCGTATCCTTTGACAACCTTTTACACTATCCATAACTCCACTAATCTTTGTATCGTCTGCAAACTTACTAACCCACCGATCTACAATTTCATCTAAGTCAATTATATATATATATCACAAACAGCAGAGGTCCCAGTACAGATCCCTGCGGAACACCACTTGTAATGGACATCCAGCCAGAAAAATATCCTTCCACTGCTACCCTCTGTCTTCTATGGGTAAGCCAATTCTCAATTCACATGGCCAAGTCATTGTGGATCCCATGCATCTGCATCTTCTAGATGAGCCTACCATGAGGGACCTTGTCAAAAGCCTTACTAAAATCCATGTAGACAACATCCACTGCTCTACCTGCCTCAATCACCTTTGTCACCTCCTCAAAAAATTCAATCAACTTAGTAAGACATGATCTGCCCTGCACAAAGCCATGCTGATTGTCCCTAATCAGGTCATGCTTTTCCAAATGCATGTAAATCCTATCCCTAAGAATTCTCTCCAATATCTTTCCAACCACCGATGTGAGACTCACCAGTCTATATTTTCCTTACTCAAGCAATGAATATCCAAAAGAAACTAACTCTAGTTTTAACATAAATTGCTTTAAAAATCCATGTTTCACTTAAAGTGGTTTCACTTTTAAGTGAGGATTCACTGATATGAAGTCACTATCCACATGTTACAGCTGCTACACGTCACCATCCTGTCATCTTTATTGTGTTTTATTTAGGTCATTATGTTTCAGAAGTTCAGAAATTTTTTTTATTTTATTCAGTAATTTAACTAGGTAAGCTCTAAATTTTAATGCAATTAGAACAAACTATATGTTGAAAATAAATTTGAATGCAATACACATACTGTCCACTGTATCAGTATAAAATATTGATGCTGCTTAGAGAATAAAATCTTAAAACTCACTAAATAATCATTTCCTTGTTCAATTTAAACTAATGCATTTGAACACTCACCAACTATTAGAGGCTAAGAAAGACTACAAATTGTAGAATCTCCTTCGCTCTCAGCATCAAATTGCCAAGTTGGCAGCCATACCTTAAGTCACTGTTTTTGGTTCACTCTGTACTCCCATATTGCCGCGAGTTAGGAACCTGTTTGCTTTTATAGAGGACCAGTGACCCACGCAAGTTGAAACTGCTAAATCTGTCCCCTGCTAGATTAATGAGCAACTATTTAGCCAACAACCATCAATTGTTTGACAGATTATTTCCACTACCAGACAATTTCTGTTAAACAAAATTTCTTAAGTAGGTTGCACTTTTAATGTCCTAAGTCAGAATCTGACTGTTAATCTAATAATAGCTTGAGAAAATTTTACCTGAAATATCCTACTTGCTTCAAATACCCAAGTTAGTCTGAACCCCTCAGTCCTTGACTCAGTCTGTACTCCTATATTTGACTCTGCCTTAATCCCATAGCCCTACAACTTTATTTCTCTCAAATGTGGATCGAATCAGCTTTACAATCAGTGATCCTATCCATTCCACCACCTCAATAGGCTGAAAGTTCCAGGCCTTTACCACTGACCATGTAAAAGTATTCTTCCTCACATTGTTAGGAACCTCTTCTTTAGAAACACTGATACAAAGTATTCTAGTCTTATCCCGTCCCTCTGAGCATTTGTCACGTTTGTTCCCAATAGCTACAAACTTTTCCAAATCACTCAATATTTGGAGTAGTTGGTTGGTTCGCTGAGCTGACTGTTTTTTGTGCAAACATTTCGTCCCCCTTCTAGGTGACATCTTCAGTGCTGTCTAACTTCCGTTCAATCGCTGTTGTTCAACAGAGGCTACATAGCACCGAAGATTGATTCTTTCTTGCTGGAGATAGTCATTGTCCCCGTAACTCATCATTTATGTTGTCCACGTTTTGCTGCATGCAGAGCGCTTCAGTATTTGAGGAATTGCAAATGGAACTGAACACTGTGAAATCTTTCATGCACATCTTTATTCCTGACCTTATATTGGAAGGAAGGTAGTTGATGAAGCAACTGAAGATGGTTGGGCCTAAAACACTGCCTTCAGAAGCTCCTGCAGTGATATCCATTTTATAAGGCTGTCAGGGAGCGTGCTTAAATGCAGGCTGATGAATCACTTCTCTTTCATGGATTTAATAAATAATTAAACTATGTATAACACTGTTAACAAATTGCATGGTTAATGTTACTACTAATTCATATAATTGTTGTCAATGGTGTGAAAAGTAGTTAAAATGTATTAGCCTGCACATAGTTGAAAAGATTATTGTTACAAATTGCATGTAAATGTCAAAGAAGATGTATAGATGTATTCAGAAAGAACTACTAAGTACCTGACTTTCCAAATGAATTGACCAACATTCCTTCAGTAATCGCCAACGATCCATTGTTAGGTTCAGGCCTCACTCCTAATAACTTGCACATTAAAGGATATATATGGACACTGTCAAAAGGCTCCGATAGGTAAGCACTTTTAAAATCAGGGCCAAAAGCTCGGAAAATCATTTTCATGTCCATTTCCTCATTGTCAAATCCATGATCTCCTCTATTGACGTAAAGTATGATTCTCTGCAATTATAAATGGTCCGTTAATGAATGTCTTACTGGATCTCACAGCAAACAGTGAGGATTTCTGCTACTATTACATATTCTACCCAAAAATTTAGTTGTGCGTGTGTGTGTGTGTGTATGAGTTTGTGTGTTTATGTGGGTGTTTCTGTGTAGGTGTCTATGAACATGTGTCTATGTCTGTGTATGTTTCTGTGTGTGTGTGTATGTCTGCGCACATGTTTATGTGTTTGTGTGTGCTTCTGTGTGTGTCTGTATGTGTCTGTGCACAAATGTATTGTTATGCGTATTTCTGCGTGTGTCTGTGTCTGTGATTGTTTCTGTGTGTGTGTGTGTGTCTGCGTATGTGTGTTTCTACGTGTTTCAAATTAACCAAATGGATAATCTCTTCATTAAACTTGACGTCTTTTTGAAACAGAATTTGCTACAAAAATAGCAGTGAGATTAATAGCAATTAATCCTTACTTATACACAAATCAGTTAACAACTTCAAACAAATGCATTTATGCAAAGCTGGGTGTTGGAGCTGGGTGCTGGAAAATGTTGACACTAGAATTAGAAATAGAGATGTAGAACTCTTCTCAATAATAAATTAAATGCTTTGGGTAGGTGGTTAACGTAGGTTTTTTTTGAAAATAAATCTTTCATGGGTTGTGGGATTTGCTGGCGATGTCAATGTTTGTTCCCACCTTTGAACTGAGTGGCAACTTCAGAAAGTACTTGAGAGTCAAACACATTGCTGTTGATCTGAAGTCACATGTCAGCGAGACCAGGTAAGGTACATGATTGTCCCTCAAGGGCCATTTGTGAACCAGATGAGTGTATATAAGAATTGATTATAGTTGCCATTGTTACCATTAGCTTCTCTTGATTACTTCCAGAGATGAAAAGTTTATCTTAATGAGGAAAGATTGAACAGTTTAGGCCTATACTTGCTAGAGTTTAAAAGAATGAGAGGAGATCTAATTGAGATATGAGATGCTAAAGGGAGTTGACAAAGTAGATCTGAAGTGAATGTTTCTCCTTGTAAGACAATCTAAATGAGAAGTCATAGTTTTCGGATAAGGGATGGAACCAGAATTAAAACAGAGATGAGGAGCAATTATTTCTCTCAGGTCTGTAGAATTCACTACCCCAGAGTGTGGTGGATGCTGGGACATTGGATAAATGTAAGGAGAAGATTTTTAATTAGTCCTGTGTTAAAGGAGGTGGGCTGGAAAATGGAGTGGAGATCAGCCATGATTGTATTGAATGGTAGAATAGGTTTGATGGGCTGAATTACCTACTCCTAGTTAGTGGGACTAACTGTGTATCCCAGATTTATTATTTATTGATCCAAATTTATCACTGGAGTTTAACTTCCATCAGCTGTTGTAGTGGGGTTTGAACCCACATTCCTAGAAGATAACCCAGGTCTCTGGGTTACCAGTCCAGTGACATTATGTCTTATGCTGCCATCTCTCCACTCTGATGGAAGCAGAGACAATCAACTTTGCTGAAAGAACTCGATGAGTACTTTGAGGAAATTAAGCTTGCAGGGATATGGGAATAGAGTGGGAAATGGGAACTGTTTGCTTTTGAGAGAACCAGGACCTGATGGTCCAAATTGTGTCATTCTGAACCACAAAGTTGCACAATTATGACCCTAAAAGAAATAAATTAGGATCTGCACTTTTCTGCTGATATATTCCCCATGTCAGACTGATCTTCCAGAGGGAGATAAACTAAATTTTAACATTCACCAAGATTTGTGCAGAACATTCCCATTTCAAGGTGGCCTAGATCAGGATTTCTGTCTTCTCTCAAGCTGGGAATACTGTGTGAAATGGATGCCTTAGCTGTGTAAGAAAATAGCTGATACTAAGGGGGTGCCGAACTAAGAAGAAAAATATAATCATCGCTTTACAACGTCATTATTGCGTTCCTGTCAGAAAATATGGATTGAGAAAAATAGTACAAATTGAAGATGAAATGAGAACATATGAAGATCACATTTTTATATAAGTAAAATATTTAAAAGACTTAATTGCAATATTTAAAAGACATTTGAGCAGGTACATGAATAGGAAAGGCTTAGAGGGCTATGGGTCGAAAGCAGGCAAATGGGATTAGATTAATTTGGGATATCTGGTCGGCATCTGGTTTGCAGATGATACAAAGATAGGTGGAGGGACAGGTAGTATTGAGGAGGTGGGGAGGCTGCAGAAGGATTTGGACAGATCAGGAGAGTGGGTAAAGAAGTGGCAGATGGAGTACAACGTGGGAAAGTGTGAGGTCACGCACTTTGGTAAGAAGAATAAAATCATGGACTATTTTCTAAATGGGGAGAAAATTCAGAAGTCTGAAGTGCAAAGAGACTTAGAACTTCTAGTCCAGGATTCTCTCAAAGTAAACTTGCAGTTTGAGTCAGTAGTCATGAAGGCAAATGCAATGTTGGCATTTATTTTCAGAGGACTTGAATATAAAAGCAGGAATGTACTACTGAGGCTTTATAAGACCCTGGTCAGGCCACATTTCGAGTATTGTATGCAGTTTTGGGCCCCATATCTCAGGAAGGATGTACTGGCCTTGGAGCGGGTTCAGCGGAGGTTCACAAGAATGGTCCCAGGAATGAAAAGCTTAACATATGAGGAATGTTTGAGGACTCTGGGACGATATTCATTGGAGTTTGAAAGGATGAGGGGGGATCCAATTGAAACTTACAGAATACTGAGTGGCTTGGACAAAGTGGATGTTGGGAAGATGCTTCCATTGGTAGGAGAGTCTAGGGCCCGAGGGCAGAGCTTTAGAGTAAATGGAAGACCTTTTAGAACGGAGATAAGGAGAAACTTCTTCAGCCAGAAAGTGGTGAATCTACGGAATTCACTGCCACAGAAGGCTGTGGAGACCAGGTCATTGAGTACATTTAAGACTGAGATCGATTGGTTCTTGATTATTTAGGGGATCAAGGGTTACGGGGAGAGAGCGGGACAATGGGGTTGAGCAACGTATCAGCCGTGATTGAATGGTGGAGCAGACTCGCTGGACCGAATGACCTAATTTCTGCTCCAATGTCTTATGGTCTTATGGCATGGACGAGTTGGAGTGAAGGGCCTAATTCCATGCTGTATGTCTCAATGAGATAATTTGGATTAGATATTGTTTTAAAGCAAGGCAATGAAAGAAAGACACATCTTTTAAAGGATCAGAGTTTCAGAAAAGGTTTGAGTTGTAAAGAAAGGCTGGATAGGCTGGGACTTTTTTCACTGGTGAGAAAGAGGTTGAGAGGTGACCTTAGAGAGTTTATAAAATCATGAGGGGTATAGATAGGATTAATAGTAGGTGTCTTTTGCCCAGGGTGGAAGATTTCAAGACTAAGGGGAACATTTTTAAGGTAAGAGGAGAGAGATTTAAAAAACACATGAGGGGCAAATTTTTTTTACATAGAGTGTGGTTCGCATGTAAAATGAACTTCCTGTGGAAGTGGGTTTGTGGGCAAGATCCAACATTTAAAAGACACTTAGATAAGTACATGAATAGGAAAGGTTTGCAGGGATATGGGTCCAGGAGCAGGCAGGTGGGACTAGTTTAGTTTGGGATTATGTTCAGCATGGACTGGTTGGCTTGAAGGGTTTGTTTCCGTGACTCTATGACTCTATAACAGTTACATAGAAAATAAAGAATGACAAGCTTTAATTGTACTCTCGTTACACTTTCCATAACTTTCATTGAATTAAAAGAAAAATAGGTTTATTTGTTTCTTACCCCATTCACACTATAGCCAAGGTCACCATAAAGGAGGATTGGCAAAATACGGTCATTTTTACTATAGTGAAATCTTTCAGGAAGTTCCTCCTTTTTATAGACTTTTAGATGAGGATGGGCATTCTTCAGTGCCTGGTAGATTTCTTCGGTCTTCCCTTCCTTTGGTAGAATCATCCCAAAACCACCATAGTCCAATAACTCAAGCTTAATATTTTTAAAACTGATAAATTTGGACAGTCTGATTTCATTTATTTCAGGGGCTTTCTTTACTGTTGTCATTCCATGGTCGGAAGTTATTATAACATTGAGCGTATCCTTCAGGTTATGCCTCTCGATGCTGTCTATTAGGTAGCCAACGGTTCTATCAATTTGACGAATGATAGTGCGTCTGTCCTCTGTTTCTGGTCCCTTTCTGTGTCCAACGCTATCAGGTTCTCCGTAATAAAGTGTTACGAAATCAAAGTCTTCTTTTGCAAACCATTCCAAGACAATATCGATGTTCAGCCTCCACTCTGTCTCATTAGCATCTGGGTGCGTAAGTGACTCCCCCAGCGATCGATATATAGCTTGCCCACCATAAGTCACATTTCCTCCCGGATAGTGGAATGATGCAACCTTTCTCCCCTGGAAGAAGAATTTCCATTGTGAAAAGATTCTTGACATTCAAATAGATTTGTGAATCACTGGTCTACGAATTTGGATCAAAAGTAGGCCATTCAGTCCCTCAGGTCTGCTCCGCTATTTTCAAAAGATGATGGCCGATCTACTTGTGTTTCAAGTTCCACATTCTCATCTACCCCTGAAAAACTTCAATTCCATTCCCTTCCCAGTAGCTCGTTGGGAAAATGGACTTAGTGATTGGCGTACAGCTAAATAGGGAGGCACGGTGGCTCAGTGGTTAGCACTGCTACCTCACAGTGCCAGGGAACTGGTTTTGATTCCAGCCTCGGGCGACTGTCTGTGTGGAGTTTGCATATTCTCCCCCCTGTCTGTGTGGGCTTCCTCCCACAGTCCAAAGATGTGCAGTGTAGATGAATAGGCCATACTAAATTGCCCAGGGATGTGCAGGTTAAGTGGATTAGCCATGGAAAATGTGGAGTTACAGGGATAGGGTAGGGTCTGGGTCTGGGTGGGATGGTCTTTGGAGGGTCGGTGTGGTCTTAATGGGCTGAATGGCCTGCTTCTATACTGTAGGGATTCTATGATAAATTGCCCTATAGTGTCCAAGGATGTGTAGATTAGGTAGATTAGCCATAGGAAATGCAGGTTTTCAGGGATAGGGTGGGGGTATGAGGCTCTTTGGAGGGTCAGTGTGGACTCAAAGGGCTGAATGGCTGCTTTCCGTACTGGATTTCATAAATAGGTCGAAAAGTGTGCATCAGATTAAATAATATTTTAATGGTACAGATCCCAAATATTACAATCAATGTTCAAGTGGAGATCTGATAGAACTATACCACTTAGTGTAGAGAGTGATGGTTTAACTCTGTCTATGATGTTTGCAAACTCTAATTTAAACTGTGAGCAAAAGTAATTCACGTGCTAAGGATTATCCCACTGCCAGATAATGAGTTTAAAACAATGAAGGTGTTTCCGAGAATCTGTAAGGGTTTGAAAATCCAAAAGGACCTCCAGAGTACTGAACAAACGTGAACTAAACACGTAGTTCAAAAGGAATGAGAGAGCTGGGTGAGTTCCAGTTCCCTCTTACAAAAGCAAAATACAGTAGACACTGGAAATCTGTTACACAAACAGAAAATGCTGAAAGTATTCAGTATGTCTCATAGCTTCTAGGGAGGGGGAGACAGAGTTAACAAGATGATGTCATGTGGACATTGGGACCTCAAGTGGGGATCATCTTAAGTTCCTGACCTGGCTTATGTCAAATGGCCCCGCCTCTGGGAACAAAGTAGCCAATTAAAAGATGACCACCTGAATGGATGGAAGAGTGACACGGGTGTCCCAAACCGACCAATGGGAGGGTGGAGAATTTTAAAACAAAAGACCATTTGGGCCATTAGTGTGGAGAGTGACCACCTTCCACAGAATAGACCAAATATGCATTTGTGACTATTTCACTTTTATAGCTCCTTCACATTGAGAGAAAGTTTTCACTACTTTTGGCCTGTCAGCTCCAAGTATTTGTTGGGCTCTGGACTCAGTCAGTCCAATGCCAGGAAAATGCTAATATATGTGGAAAATGCAATCAAGTGGGACCTAAATTGACTGTAGATTGTTGATAAGACCATAAGACATTGGAGCAGAAATCAGGCCATTCGGCCCATTGAGTCTGCTCCGCTGTTCAATCATGGCTGATAAGTTCCTCAGCCCCATTCTCCCGTTTTCTCCCCGTAACCCTTGATCCCCTTGATAATCAAGAACCTATCTATCTCAGTCTTAAATGTACTCAATGACCTGGCCTCCACAGCCTTCTGTGGCAGTGAATTCCATAGATTCACCACTGTCTGGCTAAAGAAGTTTCTCCTTATCTCCGTTCTAAAAGGTCTTCTGTTTACTCTAAGGATGTCTGATGTCTGTGACCGCCCAAACCTGGAAACTCCCATCAGGGGTGAGACAGCGTTGGCGAAACTGCTGAAGTGGTGACTATCTGTCCTTCTACCCTCCCTCCTCCCAATACCATCTCAGGGGGTGGGAGTGCGGCTGGGAAGGTTACACAAATGTAAAAGTTGAGCTCTCTTTCTCTTTGCCAGTTCTGATGAAGGGTCAGGTTTTTAAGAAAGCACAAAGACAAGGAAAGGGTCCAGTGGAGGGAAGAACAGAAAAGGAGTTCTGTGAAGGATGTGAGATAACAAGGTGTAGAGCTTGTGCAGAAAAACTGAAGAAGGGTCTAGGCCCAAAATGTCAGCCTTCCTGCTCCTCTGATGCACTGAAGAAGGGTCTAGGCCCAAAATGTCAGCCTTCCTGCTCCTCTGATGCTGCTTGGCCTGCTGTGTTCATCCAGCTCTACACCTTGTTATCTCAGATTCTCCAGCATCTGCAGTTCCTACTATTTTTGTGAAGGATGGAAGGGCACAGCTAAAGGCAGTGGTCATGGGACAAGTGAAAAACCAAAGGTGGCTTTAGATGAGACGTAAAATGGCAACAGTAGAATGATTCCCAGCACCTGCTTCCCAGAGCAATGGTTATGAACTGATATTACTAAGTTAAATATTGAGTATGTGAGGCTGCAAAAGGCCTTATCAACAAATGAAGTGCTGTTCTTGGAGTGTCAGTTGAACTCCATTATCACAATGGCATCAAGGATGGAGAGGTCACGGTGTTTTAAAATGGCAGTCATTGACATGGTTGGAGCCATGCTTGTGGACAGAATAGACAGCAGTACGCTGAATGATATGTTATTCTCTGAATTGTGATAACATAGGTACGACTACCTTGGAGTCTAACCTTTCCGAATAGTAAAACAAAGCAGACAGGAGAACCTGGGCTTCTAAACTTACCTGCTTTTGAGCTGTGATCCAGAGTGGGAGTACTCCATTATCCCACCACTGTGTCTTTCTTAATGTGAGCTTGTGCGGTAGTTTAAGTAGGGTGGTGGTGTTGTAGTACATATTGTGGACCACTCCGTGATCTTCAATCCATCGTCCTACGGAAAAGGAATAATGTAGCTTCAAATTTATAAAGACCAGAATGTTCAACCAGCTAAATACTTTATAATCAAGCCATGAAGCACTCAAATACCGCTTCAACATTAATCAATATTTGCAAACTGAGGTAACCCATGTCACGTTTAAATTTGTGAATTTTAACAATCCTTTCGCCTTGCATCTTATGCTTGATAAAAATAAAATTAGCATGGAACTTGAGGGAAAATAGAGCAAGAGACTGACAGGGAAAAGCTGCAGCAAGGAGTCAGAGAGAGTCAGTCACCATGCTCCCCACCTTTGATGGAAGCCAGCAAAGATTCACAGAGTCCAGAGTAAGGGAGCTGAGAGGCTGGAGAGTTACAAGTACAGGGTGAGATAACAAGGTGTAGAGCTGGATGAACACAGCAGGCCAAGCAACATCAGAAGAGGAGGAAGGCTGACGTTTCGGGCCTAGACCTTCCTTCAAGTACAGGGTGATCAGGTTTTCAAAAGTCAAAAACAACACACATTGTAAGTCATTCGTAAAGGTAATTACACCATTTCAAGGCAGCTTACTACAATAGCATATGTATTAACAGTGCCACTTTTATATTTTGCAATATTTTAGTTTCTTAATAGAAAAGTTTAACATCAGATAAACTTGACAATAAGGACCATTGTTTTACATTAGCTGATGCTAAGTTTTCATACTTACTTTTAATTAATCAGACTGTACGTTCTCAGTGTGGGAGATGGGTTCTGCCATTTGTTACTGCTGTCATCTTCCAACTATCATGCTATTTAAGAAGTGGCTTTTCCGGCCACCACTGCTCTCCCTTCTCATTGTGAATTGGCGTGTGTGTTTAAACATGGCCTTTAAACGCACACTCTGTCTGTCTGATGTAATTTCACTGGATCGGTAAACCAGTCTGGTTATGTAGCCTCACCATCTCCATGTTCATGTATGCCTGGTGCTGTTCCTGGTATGTCCTCCTGCACTCTTCACTGAACCACGATTGATCCCCTGGCTTGGATGGAAATGTTAGAATGTTGAGCCGTGAGTCCATTGCTGCTGATGGCCCATAGCACCTCATGAATGCCCAATCTTGACCTGCTAGATCAATTTGAAGTCTATCCCATTTAGCACAGCGATAGTGCCACACAGTGGAAGGTATTCTCAATGAGAAGATGCTACTTTGTCTCTATACTCATTGGCCCACTCAACCACCTAGTCTAGCAGCTGTGCCCTTTAGGACTTGGTCTGCTTGGTCAGTAATGCTGCTGCCAACCCACTCACTGGCATTTACGTTCACATGCAGAGTACATTTGCCACCGTCAATGCTGGGTCCAAATGGTATTCAATATGGAGGAGCACTGCCATCAGTCAAGGAGGGGGGTGTAAGTGGTAATCAGCAATGTCACTGATTTATTACCCATCAGGTAGTTGAATGGCAGTCATATTACAATGTGGCCTGGAATCATATGTAAGCTAGGCCACATCAGGACATCCTTCTCAAATTAATGATTACAATAATCAACAGTGGTAACATAAAGTCATTGAGTTATACAGCAGGGAAACAGACCCTTTGGTCCAACTCGTCCGTGCCAACCAGATACCCTAAACTGAACCAGTCCCATTTGCCAGCATTTGGCACATATCCCTCTAAACCCTTTCTATTCTAAACGCATCCAGATGCCTATTAAATGTTGTAATTGTACCAGCCTCCACCACTTCCTCTGGCAGCTCATTTCATACACACCACTCTCTGCATGAAAAAGTTGCCCCTTAGGTCCCTTTTAAATCTTTCCCCTCTCACCTTAAACCTATGCCGTCTAGTTTTGAAACTCCCCGCCACACCCTAGGAAAAATATCTTGGCTATTCATCCTATCCATGCCTCTGATGATATTATAAACCTCTATCAGGTCTCTCCTTAGCCTCTGATGCCCCAGGGAAAATAGCCCCAGCCTCTCCCTGTAGTTCAAACCCTCCAATCCAGGCAACATCCTTGTTAAGAGAAATAGTAGGAACTGCTGATGCTGGAGAATCTGTGATAACAAGATGTAGAGCTGGATGAACACAGCAGGCCAGGTAGCATCAGAGAAGCAGGAAAGCTGACATTTCGGGTCTGGTCCCTTCTTCAGAAAACCTTCTTCAGAATACCTTCCGAAGAAGGGTCCAGACCCGAAACGTCAGCTTTCCTGCTTCTCTGATGCTGCCTGGCCTGCTGTGTTCATCCAGCTCCACACCTTATTATCTATAACATCCTTGTTAATCTTTTTTGTACCCTTTCAAGACCATGTTCTTGATAGCACTATGGATGAGTTTACTGACGATCGAGAGGAGACTAATGGAATGGTAATTAGCCGGATTGGATTTCTCCTGTTTGTGTACAGGACATACCAGGGTAATCGTCCACAATATCGGGGAGAATGCCAGTGTTGTAAATATACTGGAAGAGCTTGACTAGAGGAGTGACAAATTCTGGAACACACATCTTCAACATGGTTGCTATTATGCTAGCTCTCCATTCCAGATTTTTATTCAATACAAATTTTACCATCTGCCATAGTGAGATTTGAACCTGTATCCCCAGAATGTGAACCTGTGTTCTGGATTGCTAGTTCAGTGACATTACCACCACATCCTCACCTTATACATGCATGTGCAATACTCCACTTAGTGGAGTCTTAGTTAATAACAATCGATAAGGGTCTCTGCAGAATGGTCTCGGCATTGCAGTTTTAATGAAACCGTACATACAGGACACAGAGACATTCACTTGATATTTTCAAAGCAGACATAGTTTCAAATTCTAGCTTCTGTCAGCAGGTTAAGAAACATGTATTGATTGTGTCTACTTAAAAGTGTGAAAGTGAACCCAAAAAGTCTGTGATGAACTAAAATGGACACAAATTGCAAGATCTCCAGTCAGATTGAGAAGGTGGATCAGCTTTGTTAGTCACTACGAATCAACAGCTGATGAACAAACAAGTGCAATTTGATTCCCTCTGGATAGGGTATACACTGTGAAGTGTTTTTAATGACACATACAACAACCTCCTTCATTGCTCTGGTATTAGATGGGACCGAAGACCAAGCAGACTGCTGGACAAACACACAGCCAGGTTCAAACCTACGTGAAGCAAGGAAAAGTGTCTATTGGGAGACTGCGCCCTATTTGTGTTCTAAATTAGCTCCAGGCTGCAACTTCCAAACATTAGCTGCATACCTCTGCCCTGGCTTTGCAAATGTTACTGGGTGTGTTTCAGGCAGAACTCATCCACTTTCCTCCTGTCGCCATTTCATGACTCTGTACATGCAGCAGTCATATGCCTGGGAGAGTAGGGAGTTGAGTTCTTAGCCTTCTAAGAGTTCACACTGAGCCAAACTGTTCGGAGTTTAAGAATACCTCAGAAGTGCAAGTTGAGCGTTCTCATTCTTCTTTGGTCATGCTTTCATTGCCTATACTCCTCTTTCAGCTTTACTGTTGGTTCAAGGGTATGGTGGGGAGTTGACAGAACTGACAAATCCAAACAATAAGTGAACTCTTTGAATACCCGTTACAAACTGTCACATTGTCCGATATTCCAGGGACTGAGATTCTGTGATGTGAAAGTCTCCTTCACTGTTTTGTATGTGTAACCATTCAAATTACTTGGAATCTATCCATCTAGGAGCAGTAGCCCCTAACAATCATGAACATTTTGCCTCGGTGTTCAAAGAGGTCCGTCCCAAGATGTTCTCACAGCCTGAATGGAAAGGAAGCTATCATTAATAGTTTTTTCATTGCCTGATGATGAATAGCACAAATAATGTTGTTTTATATCATCTCTTCCAATGATCATTAGAAAACCGGCAAACGACAGAACATACCACTCTGCCTGGAGATTTTGTGACACTCAGATGTCCTTTGTGCTGTTGCTGCAGTATATTGATATGATTTGATTTATTGTTACGTGTACCTAAGTACAGTGAAAAGCTTTGTTTACGAGCAGTGTAGATCGTAGTAAGCAAGGACATACAGATCAGAGGGCGGAAAATAAACAGAGGCGTGCAGGTTACATTGCACAGGGCATGCGCTGGACAAGGTCAGCATATTGTGTGGCATTGTATCCGCCCTTTGAAGCCAGTACTCTGGGACCTGGCCATTCTTCATCAAATTTCTGTGCAGCTCTGCTTTCATTTAGTTGCTGATAAAATTGAGGTTGTTAGTGATGTGAAGTTTTCTACTTCTTCAACAAAAAGACTACATCACTCAGTTTGAGCCTTGCCACAGGGACATAAGATGATGCATCTGCTTTATTATGCGGCTTACCCAGAACACACTGTGTCTTTGCACAAACGCTCATTAACCTTAGTCCAAATCATTACAATCACAATGGCTTTTGCTCACTGTTTAGAATTGTGCCACAAACGGTTTGTGGTTTGGAGATAAAAGGAACTGCTGATGCTGGAGAATCTGAGATAACAAGGTGTAGAGCTGGATGTACACAGCAGGCCAAGCAGCATCAGGGGAGCAGGAAGGCTGATGTTTCAGGTCTGGACCCTTCTTCAGAAATGGGGCAGGGGAAGGGGATTCTGAAATAAATAAGAGAGAGAGGGGGAGGCGGATGGAAGATGGATAAAGGAGCAGATAGGTGGAGAGGAGACGGACAGGTCAAGGAGGCGGGGATGGAGCCAGTAAAGGTGGGGAGTTAGGATGGGGTTGATCAGTCAAGGGAAGACGGATAGGTCAAGGAGGCGGGGATGAGGCTGGCAGGTAGGAAGTGGGGGTGGAGGTTGAGGTGGGAGGAGGGGATAGGTGGGAGGAAGGACAGGTTAGGGAGGCGGGGACAGGCTAGGCTGGTTTTGGGATGCAGTCGGGGGCGGGAAGATTTTGAAGCTTGTAAAGACCACTGACACCATTGGGCTGCAGGGTTCCCAAGCGGAATATGAGATGCTGTTCCTGCAACCTTCGGGTGGCATCGTTGTGGCACTGGAGGAGGCCCAGGATGGACATGTCGTCCAAGGAGTGGGAG